TTTTCGAAAAAAAAAACCGAGAATCTAAATCTAAGCATGCGAATCAACCAAGCATATTTTTTAACCGCCCTTTCCTCTCTTACCTCTCATTGCACAAATTTATTAAACTTATTATACTGAATAATGATGAGATGATGTGTATATAACATACGTATAACAAATTTTAAATTATAAAAAATGATCCATAATAATTTTCATATATCCTCATATTTTTTCATCTTCATTGTATTGTTATGATAATTAAACTACCATCTAAGCCAAAATAATTCTTGGAAAAAAAAATTAAAATCGTAATAAGTGAAATACTGTAAGCATAACAACGTTTTTTGAAAATTTTTGTTAACATAATGGAAAAGAAGCACTGTAAATATAACATTTACTAAATTGTAGTTTAAAGATTGTGAAAAAAAAGGTGAAAAGCTGAGAAAAAAGAAGCAAATGTTACAGATCAAATGCTAAATGCTTAAAAAACAATTAAAATCAAAATAACTTACACGTCATTTATGAATGCTCGATGAAGCTAGTAAGGATAAAGCGATCAGCAACAAAATAGTGGTAGTAAAGAATATGGCATAATAAAAAAAGATTGTAGTACATATTGCTTAGTAAATAGTACATATTATTTCATTATCGAATTATGGGTAGAAGTGGGACTTTGTAATCAGAAATGTTTCGCAGTATGAAAGAATTTTTATGATTTAATAATATTTTTATTTTTTCTTTTTTCTAATCATCTGACGACCTTTCTAATTTTGTTCATGCTTCAAGTGACATCTATATTTTTCAAAATTTTATTCGCAAACGCAGAAAAAAATAATGGGATTTGAAAAGCTAGGGAAATAATGAAAATTCGATATTTTGGAAAATGCAATAAAATCTCCATTAACTACTACATAACAACATGCACAATTATCTATCAATAGTAGTTCTAATTTTTTTGATAAATTTCAGGAATGAAATGTTTTGCAATACAGGCAGGCTTAAAATGCACAGGCATAAGCATGAGCAAAAATTAGAGTTTAAATAGAAAACAAAAATTTTTATCATGAAGAAAACCAACCACATTGCTTATTACGACGGCAAAATTAAACATAATTTTGAAAATTAAGCAAAATTTTGGAAACTAAACAAGGTTTTGAAAACAAGCATGCCAAAAAGAAAAAATTAAATTATTACTTTTGCATCATACATGTAAATCATTTCTCATTTTCAGCATTCAGCATTATTTTCATCTGATTAATCTAACAATTAATTCGTTAGTATTAGTCATCTGACTAATCACTAAATCTATCAAACGAATCGTTTGTCCGTCTGTAACATTAATCAATGTAATCCTTTTGAAAAAAGTCTTTTTTTTTTCAAAATTACATGTATGACATTAAAGGAAATATGTAAACCAAAACTTTGAAAATTGGCATTTCAAAACAGAAAAAAATCTGGAGCTAGCAAAAAAAGAAGCCAAATGGGATCATGAAGCTTTTAAAAACATTCATTTATAAGCATTCGGAAAATGATATTGTAATAACTGAAGAGAAAAACCGTAGCAAAAAAAAATTCTAATAAGTGATGAAAGATAAAATTTTTTTTCAAATGAAAAATTCACTCATTCTTTTCTCCTCCTTTTATGATTACAATATCACCTATATTTAGCTTATATTACTGAATATGTCCATACACACAAATTTTTGATGAAAAGAAATATTTGATCAAATAATTCAAATGATTTTACCGTTTTGTGATGCAACTGCAGATGATATATTGGCATTATCGATTAGTGTATTAGCAGCAGTAGATGAAAACGGTAAATCATTGAAATCGGAGCTTGCATCATAAAATTCATCATTTTCATCATCATCATCATCATCATCACCACCATCATCAATATTATCTGATATTATTGTCATATTTCCAGTTGGTAGTAAAGATAATACCGGTGGTACAGTAGCCCCCGAGACCCCATGCTGCTGTTGTTCGTAAGATATCTTCGAATGTTGTTTGCTCAATTTTTTATCCACTACAAGTATAGAGTTATCATTCGAATTTGGTACGATTCCCTCGTTTTCTGTATCTTTTTCATTATCATTATCACCATAGGATTGATTCACTTCTATTAGTTCTTCCTTTACTTGAGCCATATTTTCTCGTCTATGTTCGTTCATACTTCCTGTTTTTTCGCGTAATTTTTCAGCTCTTTTTTCTACAAAATATTTGGGGACATCCGTTGATAAATAATAATAAACATTACAACAATACATTTGAAAAAGCTGAATTATATATGTATATATACATATAGCACAAGCATTAAAGTACGAAGCAATAATACAACAGCTATCTTGACTTTTTTTTTCAAATTCGTTTAAACCATGGCTACCATTCAAATCATTTGACAATCATAAATTAGAAAGCAAAAAATGACAGCCATAATCAGTACTTGCCAGAATTAATCCCAAGATTGCATTCTTAATTATTTGAAATTCAAAAACATTTAAAATGAATATTCAAAAATACAGATTGAAAGATTTCAAAATAATTAAATAGCTAAAATAATATCTGAAAAACTAGTACACAACATGGTAATGCAGTACCAGGATGTGTGAAATATGGAATTTAACACGACAAACAGAAGGATTTGCATATCTTGTCACGAAAACTTGAAAGTTAGCAAAAAAAATTATGTTCAAAATTTTACTATAGTGATTTCGATATATTGGAGCATTGAAGCATAAAAAACTGGTTCATCTACTTGTCATGGATTCCTACTAAAATTTTTAGCATTGCAATGTAAAAAAAGAAAAAACTTCACTTAAAAAGAATTTCAGGTTAAATCTCATTTAAATACTTCACTGCATACCATTAAGCCTATCATCACAACAATAAAACACAAATATCAATTCTTGGAAAAAGTTAGCAACTTAGATATGCCAAATAGTTAAGCATAAATAAATTTTTTTTTTCGTGAATAAATAGAAGTTAAGTTCTTTGGAGAAAGATGAAATAAAAACGAGTAAATGATAATTAAATCAGCTGGGAAACGAGAAATGAGAACGAAGTAGAACGAAAATACTAACAAAACATTTTCGATCTTTCATCACTCTCACAGAACTCCTTTGCAATATCTTTTTTCCTTAAAAAATAACTTGTTATGTATTCATTTGAAAATCCACAGCTGTCACTCACAGCTTCTATTTTTCTATGCTTTCCAATCTTAAATTTATTGTTGTTATAACTAAAATGCCAGCAATATAACCAGAGATTTACAATTTTTCTTTCCAACAATACTTGAAGATAATGAGCTTTAAAGTTACCTGAACTTATAATATTTCCTAAAATTTATTGCCATTAACTTCCAAATCAAATTAAAATGTAAGAGGAAAAAATGAAGCCATCGGATTAATTAAATATAAAGAATTATTTAAATATTAATCTGTATGAATTGTAATTTGACTAGTTCAAAAACATAAATTTAATGCGAAGAAAAAGGACATCCAGGAGTTAAAATGTGGAGCACAACATAAAATTCATCTAACAAACTAAACAGATTTGACGATTAAGTCTAATAAATCACGGAATTTGGGATACCAATGTAAAATTGTATTCAACATAAAGCTTAAAGATGTAATGAACCGATGATCAAATCATTTTTATCACCGATAATTTTTTCTTCCTCAAAAAAAAAAACAAAACAAAAAAAAACAAAGAAATCAAATAATCGTAATAAACTGATATAGAATTGAAAATGAAAAATTAAGTAATTCAAAGTGAGTTTTAAACAAAAATACTATTTAATACCATAAACAAAAAATACGATACGTAGAAATATAATTAGGTTTTGAAAAAATTATACAGAAAGTTTCCGTATAATTTCTTCCTTCCATTACTTTTGCGGTATAATGCAACATCAAAGAGGAAAAGAGGAAAGGAAAAAAATGAAGTAAAGTATGAAAATAATAACAAAAGCATTTAAGGCTATAAAATAGAAATCAAAATGATAATATTACCTAGAAATGGCATCTAAAGAAAACCAAAATAATAATAATGAATAAGAAAGGAAGTCAAATAAAGAATGAATGGAATAAGAATTACTGAAGAATAAGAACAATGAAATCTTTCAGTCGCATATTTCTTAATCCCAACAATTGTTCCATCATTTATCAAATTAAGACTTAATAGATAATTAAATGATAAAATTACAGCCATTCGTAATACTTCCTCAAAATCTATTCATCTTACTAGAATGAAAAGATTAAGAAAAGGAAGGGAAAAAACAATCAGTTAATGAGCAAATATTTGTCAATTTTTATCTCATTCAATCCGGTTGTTGGTATTATCACACAGGTTGTGAAGCCAAATGTAGAAGTGACAATTATTAATAAAAATTGAGGAATAAAGTAACGATAAGAGTGAATGATAAGATTTTTGTGGTAGTCATAATGGCAACGATAATAACACCAGGGAAAACATCGTGACAACAATAGAATTTTACTACATCAACTGCAAAATCGATTTATTACAAAATTCAAGCTAAAACTTAGGTAAGCAACAGATTCCGAAGAGAAAAAGTTTTTCAGTGACATATTCGACTCTTTTTTTGAGAATCATATTCTCCAAACAAAACTTAAAATAGTGATATTGTAATAATGGTAGGGGAAATAAAAATGATTTTAATGCTATAAGCGAGCAACTTCTCACGAAAGAATAGTCTTTCTTCATAATGACTATAGGCAAAAAGACAACTGTGTGATGTGCAAACTAATATTTTGATAATTTATGAACAATACTAATGTAAATACTCAATGACATGGAATAATCGTAATCACTTATCAAATATATTAATTTACATAAAATAAGAGAGAATAGAGAAAATTCATATCTAACGAACCAATTTTATAAAAAATATTGTAAATTTCATTAAATGATAATTCATACAAATCTTCAAAACTAAATGTTAAAACTTTCATACGCTTTTTATTTACTTCTTTTAAAGCAATCCCCAAGTTAAAAGGAAATAATTTGTAGCAGTCTACTATTTCGACTTTCAAATTTAATAATAAACTGTAAAAATATCCATTTCGTTGTCTTGTAAAATATGAAAAATCACTAAAAAGAGCAATTTTGTATTGAGGATGTTAAAAAATGCATTAACTAACTTTTCCTAGCCGCCTGACTGGCTAATTTTCTGCTTAATGCACTTCGAGTTTGGAAATCAACATTCATCGCTGCACCCTAAAATATGAAAAATGAGGAATGTCACGAATATTCTTATACATTTACATCATGTTCTACTTATGCATAATTATAATGTCCTTGCATTTTTGCACATCTCGTAATGCATTGACATTCTGCATACTGTGACACATTTATATTAGCAATTAGTAAGTCGTAAAATTCTCATAACATTTGAATTCTTTTCTTAACTGCTTTCAATTTAATCAAAACTATCATAACTCTTAACAATTCCTGAAGGAATTGGATAAATAAGCTATCAAACCTGTAGCCATTCGGCAATTCGTCCGGATTCTTGCGTGCTATTTGATTGTGTTGGTAGATTAGGTGGTTCCACAAGCCATGTTTCCTCATCAAAATCTGTACTACCAACAACGGCTGTTGTTTTATTTACAGTAGTACTCATCCTGTAATTTTATTCCATAAACTTATATAATGATAGTAAATAATTCGATGTGATACGAAATTCACTACGATATAATTGCATTCGCAAACACCTAAACTTAACAAAGAAAAAATAGTAGATGTTGAACCTATGGTCATACCATGATATTACTACTCTCGTCAATCTGAAGGCCAAAAAAATCTAACAAAAAATACAAATTCTTAGCAGAAAATTATAAATTGTAGAGGTGAATAAATCGAACATCGAAGAATCATCTACTTATGATGAAGAGTTAATACAAACAAGACAGTGAAGTAGAAATTCATAGGATGCAAATTGTGTCATCAGAATGGATCGATCAAAAAAAGATTAAGAATTCGGGGAACAGGCATTTCTGAAGCATAAATATTAACTTTTAAGATAATGAAAATATGAAAACAAAATGTTAAGCAAAAAAAAAAAACTATTCAATGAAGTAGATGACATTCAAAGAAAATTAGAAAATTATTTCAGTCTTTCTTCACCGGCTTCCCGTTTTCCCACGGAGTAATTTTCACGGTTACTATCGCCGGTTTTTCCGCTCCTTTCTTCAATCCTTTTTTTAGGCATTTCCGCGTAGCCGATGCTGCAATTTGTGAGTATCGCACATAATTGATGCCCATCTGACGCCACATTTTCTGAGCTATTCTGAAATTTCTCTTTTTTTTTACAACTAAAAAAATTCTTTAAAAAATATCAACCACTTTGTCATGAATTGATTCGGTTTCCTTACAATTTGCTTAATAATATGATTAGTTTAATGTTATATCCAACAAAATAATATTAAAGTAGCGACTGCTTCTCGCATCAAATTTTTAAGTTCATTTAAGTACAAAAGAATTTTTCAACGTCTTACCCAGCTGAGTATTAATTAGAAGTTGAGGAGATATCCAGGACTTGTGGATTGGAAAAAATGACAATGTGAAGAAATGACAAAAACTCAAACACGCTTTGTAGAAAACGGACAATAAAAAGAATAAAGAAAGATGGAAAATAAATTTTTAATACATTTTTCCAAACATCACCTTATCAACGTAACGACATACAACAATTACGCTAATGAAAACATTTCTTATATCAATGGAAATTAAAATATAAAAACTGAAGTGTTTATTTTGATCTTGAAGCAAAAATAAAAAGTTTTTTTCTTCCACTTCATATTTTATTTAATTTGCCTAAAACAAACTGGCAAAAAACTGCAGGTTCAACTGAACAAACCAAAAATTAGCTTTTTTTCCAATTTCAAAATTTCATGAAAAAAATTTTTCAGTGAAAAGTATCAGAAAATTAGGAAAGGAGAAATTGAGGGGAAAAAAGGGAAAAAAATGCCGGAATTCATGTTCACATAACATTAGTGAATATAAAATTATCCATACTCAGCACGTACGTATGACCTTCACGGCACAATTCGTAGCGCGATTTAATATTCGTGGTTCAAATTAATACAAACTATTAAACATTCACTGATCAGACACCATCT